GAGCTTGCTTCTTCCTTTCCTTTGAGGAGTCCGAGCAAGTTCTGGGCTGTAGCTCGGCGGGCTCTGCAGCGTCTCCATTGCTTCTTTGTCAGCTCCGCATTGGTGCTGCTGGCCTCTGTGTTGTTAGGCACAGTTCTTGCAGGGAGTGGCCCAGACTGCTGGCGATGGCTATGGATCGAGGGACCTTGTCTAGAGTCCGCGGCCAGGACCTCGAATCGGTTTTCTATGAGCGGGATCTCAAACTCTGAAAGCTGAGGTGATGCGGGTCTGTTAGGCTGAGAATCTCCCGACCTAACCATGCGTGGCGAGGTGGGAGTAACTGGTTTCTCTCTCCTGCCCGCGGGACAAGACTTGGCTCTTAGGAGCATTTTGGGTCTAGGGGGTCTCTCCCCAGCGAGAGAGGTGTTCGCTCCGACGGCGAAGCCCAGCTTGTTGTGTGGCCGGATGCCGAGGTGGAACCGGCTGCTAGTTCTGAGGCAGTAGTGGGAACTGTTGTTGATAAACATGGTGCAATGCTTATTGCTGATATAGTTGGAGCTGCTGGACTTGCTGTGTTTGAGCTTGTATAGCTTGCATGCAGTGCATCAGGTCTTTGAGTTGGTTTTGTCCGACTACCGGGGGAACAGACGGTTCGGCGAAGGTTGTACCTACCGTGGAGGGGAGTGGAGCACTCACTGGCACTGTGATCTGAGGCATGTTCAGAGTCGGAACCCCATCCATAGAGAGTGGTAGGGTGAATTAATCGACACACACCATTGGGATCTGAGGTTGCTCCCCGGAAGTATCCATATCCGCACTGCGCCCGACGTTGCTGGAGGAAGCCATGAAAACTTGACTAAAAATGCTTGGCCAAAAGAGGCTTTTCGAAGCATTTCCCACAGACGGTGCCAATTGATGATGCGCTATCTAGTCACTCCTAGCTGGAAGTGGTTGTGCTCCTAGCTGGCGACGGACGAGAGATACCTGTGAGGAAGAAGATGACACAATACCTTCGCCCCTGGGGGTCGGGGTCCTTATATACTAGTATCCTGACATGTCAGGTGCAACCGCCTCCGAATCTTTGTTGTGGCGATCTACTGTCAAATAACGGCTTGGAGTGGCTAGCCATTATTTGTCAGAGCTGAGCTGGCGGGCAAAGGTGATCGCTGCAGAGTACGGTCCTGCCAAACAAGAAACAACCTCCAAGGTTGGTAGGCACAACGCCGCCAGGCGAGAGACGTGGGCGCAGTCTCCAGATTTGGCAGGTGTGGTTGTCAGGCAGAAAACCCCCTACGATACGCCGAACTGCTCTGCAGCGAGCTACCTTGCACCGAGTAGTATCTCATGCTTTCTACCATCTCAGTTCTCAAATTGTTTCTTATATTTCTTATAAAGTATAATTTCAAACGCCTTATATGAAATTGTTAAAGTAAATCATGAGAAATACTAAAACCTTATTTGGGGCGAGTTGCACTAACTGAGCCACTTTGGTTGAATACCCAGATTTCAGATAAATTACTTAGTATGTGTTTGGTATGGTTTATGTTTATTAAATAAATGTTTGTACTTAATTTGTTTTTAAAACCTAGAAAAATACTTGATACACTGTTTATGGACAATTAGGCACTTCATCGGCAAACAGTGAATAAATGCTCAACTGTTGGGGAAAGCATTAAAATGAAGTTTCCCCCAACGGTTGGTGTGCATGTAAATCAAAATCCACTTTTGTGAATATCAATGTGTGCGGATGAATAAGATGGGAAAATGCTGATTTGGTAATGACATGGTGACATTTTGATAAACGTCTATCACAAAACGCCCATGGAGCAAAATACACGCTTAGGGTAATATCATGTTACAATCATGATTTTAACATTTGGAATACCCATATTGATTTCCTACATTTTCACCAAACACAACTTAGGAGGTTTCCATATTGGAAACACCATAAACCACATCTTAAAAACCCTCCCAAACAGTCACTAAGAATGTTTGTCGGTATCCTATATGCATGTACATTAGGGCTGCAAGTCGAGCCGGGTTAGGTCAGGTTGAGGTCAACCCTAGCCCAACCTTATGTTCTAAACCCCCAACCCTAACCCTAACCCAACCCTAACCCTAACCCGAACTAATTCCTTCAACCCTAACCCAACCCGATGTCAACTTTGGGTTGGGTTGGGCTCAACCCAACCTTCCCATCACTTAAAATCTAGTAGAAAAATAAGTACTTATTTATCAAGAGTTATGACTTATGATAGATTTTTTCTAAAAAAATATAAATTCATGAAATCAACCATAATGAAACATAAAAGGAAAAGACAAGTAGAGGTGTAGACAAGTAGTCTAGTACTATAGGGGTCAGGTTCGGATTGGGTCGGGTTGCCCAAGGGGTCCACCCTAACCCAACCCGAACTAATGTCGGGTTCAAGAATTCAACCCTAACCCTAACCCGATCATCAACCTGGCCCAACCCAATCCAACTTTTTCGGGTTGGATTCGGGTCAACCCGGCCCAAGTTGCAGCCCTAATGTACATCATAATTTGTTGAGTCTTAATGGGGTTGGAACACGTAAACCAGTCCAACCCAAATTATAATCCAAAATCGAAATGCAGACCCAGAAATTGACCCAATGGTGACCCACAATGTAGACCTGGACCCTGTGTTATTAGCGTTGGGTACTTGGGTTAGTTCAGAGTGGCCTGGGGCCCTGGACCATTGACAGCCCTAACTACCCGAACCATAAATGAACCACGTATCGGACTCAGTATATAACCTAAAAGTCTGAAAACAAGAACCAGGATGCACCGTGGGTCCGTCCCTTTTAAGAGCTTTGAACATCTTCGAATGGAACAAATAGAAGTAGACAAGCAGTTACGCAGCGGTTTGGATTTTTGAATTTTGACCCAAAGAGTTCCGTTTCCATTAGGGTTGATTAGGTCAAAAATGAGATACGTCTTTTGACAAGTGTGATTCCCTCAAGGATCCAACGACCAGATAAACTCTCTAAGCACGGAGGACCTGGTCTTCATAGTCCACTCTCGGTGACCTGCCGACTTGGTGTTCCCATGGGTGAGGTTGATAGAAGATTTGAAACATGGCCTGAACTCTGAAGTTAACTGAACATCGTCTCATGAATAAGTACAAACTGTTTTCTTGTTGTAAACATCCAAACAAAATCCAATCAAGGTTTTAACGTCATCGCAATTTATGCCAATGTTTTTTTATTGCACTTTTGATTTAATGGATTTTAACGATACTCTGTTCGTTTGATAATAAGTCATTATGTGCAAATGCATTTATCTGGTAAGTATTATGGAAAAATGTTATTTGGCTAAATATATTTAGCCTTTTTTTTTTTGCCAAATGGGTAAATGAGTGAGTTTTCTAAAGGATTTATAATTCTTTCTTTGTTGGAACGAGATGCCATTTTAATTCTACACAGTTTGGCCAATTTCTCGCTGGGTAATTAATTTATCCACCTTCGGTGCCAAACTTACCTCGTTCACTTTTGGGTAAGTTATTTATCTGGGTAAATTTAATTTCTTGAATAAGTTTTTGTTAAGAAACATTTATGTGGGTAAGTGCATTTATTTTCCAAATAAATAATGCAATTACCATTTTAACTATAATAATTCATTATTAAAATGGACATTTTTATCCTATTCAAATATTGGCAATTTTTCCTGATCCCTACATAAATCTGAAAAAAGAATATGGGATTCTTGGTCAATGAGAACCAAAATCCCATTGACCAACTTTTCCCCTCTCAAAATCTTAAAAAAGAACGTCCTCTCAGAGAGTTGTAGTTGACACAGGTCCAGAGGCCCCATTTGACACTGTCAAAGCAAGCTCCCATGTTCGATCATCTTAGAAATAAAAGCTTCGTCGTTGGATGCTGTCAACCTCTGTTAGCAGAGGATGCGGGACGAAACTTTCTTGGGGCATAGCGAATGGGATGTATGTCACATGCGTGTACGTGTATGTGATTCGTTGTTCTAAGATCCCTTTCTGTCTTATTATTCTTCAAGTAGTTAAATATTGTAAATCCTAACCCAGTCAAATGGTTCTGGATTTATCAAATGCTTACTCGGTCCAACTCCCTTATTTTTTATTTCTCCAAATTGAATAAACTTTATTACTTCTTCATTGCCATATCCATCCCTGTTATCTATCATCGTTGTCATTGCCAGCAACAGAATTATGTTAGGTAAGAAGTATTGTTGATGTAAAGAAAAAAAGAGAAAAGCAAAAGATCTTGAATCTACAAGAAGAGAAAACTTGAATTAGACTCTTAATCAGAGTATCAGACTCAACCTCTCTTAAACATTGTATTCGAATGAAAAATGGGTTCCCAATCAAACTTGAACTCAAATATGAAAAAAAAAATGGCAAGGATGTAAAACTTTGCTTCAACTATGATATTGGAAAAGCTTCTAACCAATCAACCTATCATAAACCAGTGGTATTTATTAAAATTCATGAAGGGAGGGCTATTCCCGTATCATATCTTCCCAGCAGCATAGATTTTCCGTGAATAAGTAGAGTATTTTTTTCAGAAAAACCTGTGATTGAAGGCCAAAACGATAGAATTTGCCAATTTGGGCCTGAAAAAGGCAAATAAATCCATAATTTGAGAATGTCTAGTGCTCAATTGCTCATAGAGATTAGAGACTATTGTTTCGACAAATTATATGTCAAAAACATATGCCCAAGTCAAAAGTTATGGTGGCTTGAAGTTTCAGTCCCTGTGTTTTAGCCTCTTTTCTTAAAAACCTTTCACCAACTTGTTCTACAATCTACATCCATTATCCTAAAACTACATGGCCATTCATCAAAAGTGGATTCATAACCCCTATTCACTTGCTCTTCTCATAAATATTACAAACTGCAAATGTTCTCCCAAAATATTAGAACCTTGGACAGCACAATCATAAAGTTTGTAGTATAAACAATTGCCATTATAGCATAAGAATACACCCCCATAGCTCTCTTGATGAAAAAAAGTTGGCAATGGAAGAAAGATGCATAAAGATAATAAGGAATTTAATTTATAGACTAATTAAAATTTATAGGAAATACATCAGAGGAATGGATAAATAATTACAAGAATGGGCTCTTTTCTTTATTCTCCACATTGGAGGTTCAAATAATAAAATTGTAGTTAGATATCTATTAATAATATAAGTCAGGGGTCTTCTGCTACAAGTGTAGACCATCTTTGTTTTGCTGCTATGCTGTTATATCTCAAGCAAAGCCAGTTTGCCACAACAATCACCATCTATGGCCTTTCAATAAGCCTAACTTTTTAGCTTTCTACACGAGCAAGTTCCTTTGTAAAAACACTGGCAGGCCAGAATCAGGTCTCCGTAGCCTATTTGTTTTGAAGGAGCTCTTCTCTAGAAACAAATCTATATCAAATAAAACGACCCAATGGAACTACCATTACACTAACGTCGTCAGTGGAACCTCTCATAACAGACAACTCTACAAGCCTTTTACATGCGGACAAAAGTTTCAGCTTTTGGGTGTCCATGCAAAATGGACGAATTAAATCTACTGCCTCCTGATTACTGACCTGGAAAGAGAGAGAGAGAAGAAAAATATTTAAGCTTCTGAAGAATTGGAGAAAGTTAATCAGGTCTAATTTTTAGGTCTAATTTTAAGCTTCTGAAATTATAAAGCAGAGCGGAATTACCTTATCCCATAGCCCGTCAGAGGCTAGGATTAAGAACTCGCATTCAGGTCTAATTTTTAGGATTTTAGTTTCGGGCTCTGCAATGACCCATTTCTTGAGGTGTCTATCTCCTATTGCTCTGGATACAGCGAGAGAACCCTGTAATCTCCATACCCCATGGCAGCAATCAACGTAACCACCCTGAAAAGATATTTCACTACAACTCGTTAGCATTTGTTTTGGAGAGATTGGAAAACATTTCTTTGGGATTTTAAGAAAGTTTGAATACTAGATGATATAATGGTAGGCTTACCAGGGTCTCAATCCTGTCCTTCTCATCTTCCCTTGAAGGTCGGTGGTCAGATGTGAGGGCTTCAGCAATTCCTTCTCTGCTAATAACAGCACGACAATCTCCCGCATTAGACACTACTAGATCACCTTTCCTGATCACCGCTGTTACACAACAAGCTCCACCATAAGCGTCCTCTTTGAGAAAATCTGAGTCTGTGGTCAGGTACCCATATTTAACTGCATCTTCAATTTCATCTTCTCCTCTTCTCATCAACTCGTCCATAATGTTCTTATCAATATTCTCTGATGCATATGCAGCAGCTTTTGTACCTCCATGCCCATCAAAAACACCAAAGAATGCCTGAAATTACAAATAAAAAAAAAACCCACAAATGATAAGAATCTATCAGATTATGATCCAGAACAATAAGAAGAAAAATGAAAAAGGACAACTGGGGAAGGTGTTCTGCAATTGAATGACCCATCTCTAGGTCACATTTGCTACCTATTCTATGATTTCCAAACTTTTTCGGTATATATTTAACCTCTCTCATTTAAGTTCTTTCTTGATGAAATCCCATCTGTTGGAATCTTTTGTATCCTTACTCTGAGGTAAGACTACGCATTCCCTATCCTAGCTAAATCGCTAATAATAAGATTTCAAAGGTATCAACTTTTTCATTTATTCTTTCAACACTTAAGATATTTTGTTCATACATGTTATCTATATCTTTCCCCATAATTTTTTTTTTATCTCCTTCTAATCCTATATACATATTGATAGCTGATTATAATGAAATTGAATATCCAACAACGTTTTCTTCTTTTTATTTTTACAATTTCTCTATCTGCTCAATTTCTAAAATTTAACATTTTAAGACAGAATCACGATCAACATTGCTTGGATTTCTACTTCATACCAGCAGCTTTCATTATCAATCTAATTCTAGCAAGATCAATATGCAAGGGGTTTAATAAAAGGAAAGAAAATTTTTAACCTACCTGTTTGGAATCTCCTTGAAGATTGACGACAGCAGAATATCGGTCCTCCATGGCCTCCCTCCTCCCTTTCTTGCAATAAACAGAGAATCCATCTCCCTCAACCTCAACCTCCTTCCTCCCATCCGTCGCCGCAGCGAAGCTCAAAGAAGTAACTGGAATATCGAGCTTGGCCGGTCTCTTTCGTTTAAAAATAGAGGACGAAGACGAAGAAGGAGGAGGAGGAGAAGAAGAAGAAGAAGAAGTCGAATCAACACCAACACGGCCTTCCTTGCACGACCTCAAACCACTCAATGATTTATGAAGCCGAATCCTGAAAGGCGAAGGCGGAGAAGACGACGAAGGAGAACCACAACAGGACGACGATAACCCATGATGGTTTAAGGTGAGACTCAAGGGTTCGGGCGACGAGGCTGTGATTTTGCAGAAGAGGGATGAAACCCTGGATGGCGAGAAGACAGGAGAGCTTACCACTGCAACGGCACAGGACATAGTCGTTGTGGTTTGCTTTATTGGTTAATAATTCTCTTCTCTTCGCTTTGCCTTGATTTTCGCTGTTCGTTTCCTTTTCTTGGTGAAGAGTAACTGAGCAAGGTATTTAAAGCAGTTTTTTCAGAAGAATCTAATAGGATAATAGGAGTGTGAATAACCAACCATTAACCATTTAACCCAACCCGTTCAATGGTCGGCTTCAGCCTTCTATCTCAAAATAACGCCTGGCTCGTTACCAAGGGGCAACGGAAGGTCTCAGGAAGTTACCGTTGAAGGCTTCGGATAAGAACTAGTGTGAAGGGTGCGACATCAAAGAGTGAACCCGCTTCCTGCTTCCTTAATTTCAAAGATATGATGACCATTAAGTTTTTATGACGTGGCCCAGCTGGTGATGAGTGGTCCCCCCCGTTTGTCTCGCCACGTTAGTCGTTCCTCCCTCCTACTTCCCCTTTCTCACCTCCTTCATGGCATGATGTTGGAACGAGACCGGATCGACTCCCAGCAAACACCTGTTCTCAGGCATATGAGTTGGGTCCCAAGTCTTATGATGAGATGTCAGATGTGCGGACTAGAAGCTCGTTGGGACAATTTCTGATCCCAACTCTTATGGAACCCCGGTGCAGATCCGGAGTGATTTCCTAATTCTCACTTCAATTTGTTCATCGGGACCGTTAAATAAAAGGGTGGCCCACCATGGTCGATCAGACGAGATGAGACCATCTGGACGGCTCAGTTGGCTCGATAATATGTAATATGTCAGCATGGATGTCACCATGCATTACTCCTAAAACTAAGCATGTGGTGGGATGTGAGTTGTTTCTTTTCTATCATCATATTATGGTCAAATCAAAAACAATGAAATGATCCACAAAAGTAATAAAAGAGGCAACCGTGTTGGTGTTGTGAGTCTCGTGACTCATGTTTGTGATTGAGGCGTCAACCGACATGCCACGATACCCAATTCTTCCGTGTCACAGTGTACCCCACCCGTCCCTCCAACGGTTTATAAATATAATCTTCAAAACACGTTGAACGATCTTGTCAAGAGTGCCAGTATCATTAATTGCGGAGCAGAGTCAATAGTCGGAATTAAATAGAAATGGTGCTGGTGCCACGGTTGCCAGCTGGATCAAGCTTGATAGCTCCCTCTAGCTTACACGCCAAATTTTCCAATGTTTCACTCTGAGAGCTTAACAAAATTAAAATAAGGTATTTGGCGGAAGGGAGACCGGATCTCCTCCTCTCACACCTGGTGCCTCACACGCACATCCTATCATGTATTGGGAACATCTACTTATTTGTTATTATTCACGAGAGATGTTCCCAATGCACGGTGGATGTGTATGTGAGGCGCCCATTTGTTAGGAGCAGATTCCGTCGCAGCTAGAGGATGATGGTTTTCTTTTCTCATCCTATTTGACTATCGTATCCATCGTTTTTTAAAACCAGACTGGACCAGAAAAACCAGGAGCAGTTATCAGACCGGTTTCATTTTACCCCAGAACTTTCATTTTGGACGAAAACCGTTGATTTGGTCAGCAAATGCTAACCTGGGCGGTCAAACCATTCGAACTGCCCAATGGTTTATAGCCTTTTTTTATTTTTTTTTGCCATTAATACGATAGATATATTAGAGATGTATCCACATGTTTTGTATATTTTTTTTATATTTTTATCATTTAATTATAACATCAAGGGTAGTTAGCACATTTGACCCAAAAAGGAAGAATTGTTGACCCCCACCAAACAGGAAAAAAATTTCATTTTTGTTTAATATAATTAATATAAAATATTGTAGATTTACCCAATTTTTTTGCATTGTTTTAATTTATATTTTATAAATTTTATTAGTTAAATGTGACATCATTAGTTGAACTCTTTGACTTGAATGGTTGTAATGCTTATCTGTCACTTAGATACAAGGACGATTTGTTCTTGAGCTGGTTTTAAAGAAGATAGGATTATATTGTTGAAAGTATTGGCATTGGATCTAATTAATAGAATTTGTTGATGAGAATAAATACCATAAATACATGATTGATTGAGAGGGAAAGGGAGAATATTCCTTAAATATAAGACTTAATGAAAAGGAATCTAATGAGATGAAAATTTGTGATTTAAATTATATTTATATATATTTATCCTTACCATTTTAGCCATACCAAATTTAGAAAAAGAGTATTTTAGTTAAGAAAAAAATTCCACACTCTTTGATGAAGGTAGATTTGGCCCTCCAATGACACTGTGACACATGGCATCTCAGAACAGCTAGATGACACCTAGACACCACCTAAGTGATGATTTGGAGTCCTAGATCGCGGCTCGTCTTTACCCTGACCTGGCAACCTGCCTTTACGCCGACCTAGCGACCTCAACCACAACTTAGGTCGGCTTGCAGCACCTTGTCTAGGGTTAGCCTGTAGCACCTCGTCACCGGCCAAAGTGACCTCAATGCGAGGAGCGACCTCCCTCAAGGGCTTGTTGACCTGACTGAGGACCAGGCAGTAACCTGCGAGATGTTCTCGCCGACAAATTCGGCATGCATATCCCGATGCTCCCAGGTTTCTCGGAAGTTGGCCCACGTACCAAATGTTCCGGAGCATGGTCAACGTACATGGCGGTTACCACCGAGGATCTCGGACCAGTTAAGCATGACCTCCCGAAAATCTTGGATGCGATGCGTGAGGCCCACACCAAACAATGCCTATATAAAGGCACCAACCCCAATGACACAAAGGAGAGGCGAGTAAGCACATTCTAGCTTTCATACTTTCTGATTTTTTAGCTTGCGATCTATTATGAGAGTACTAACTTAATCATTGGAGCGACCTCGCCGGGTTAGCCACCCCGAGTCCTCTAACATTGATTCCTTGTAGGTTTATCTGAAGAACTACCCAGCTCAACAATCAATCTAGCTCAACACCCAATCTACCCCCCAGCTCGGCATCCAAGTCTTCATCCAGCAAAAATCCTCCACTTTGGCCACTAAGTCATCGGCCACCTGGAAGTAGTCCGAACAATAGGGTGCTGCCAAAATACCCTTCATCACTCTTATTTGCATTTGTAATAATAGCATAATATGAATATAGGTATAGGAAAAAACTATTCTATTATTGGAAAGACATGATACCAAAAGAACTTTGAGCAATCAAAACCTTCACAAATTTTGATACATACCAGTTGATTGGTTATAATAACTTTTACTATATTGGTTGATTAGGTGCATGTTTTTCCAATATCATATCTTTCTGGTATCATAGTCAAACCCTAAATATACATATCGGCTAGGTCAGTCTACAAATCATCACCCCTAATGAAAATATAAATTATACAGTTAATCTCCAAGATTTTACAGTTGAAGCCCTAATAATAGTGCACCCCAGACAGAATACCTAAATGGCCATGAACTACTATGATACAATGGTTGGTCCTATTTTTCCCTGAGAGAGATGGTGGTATATATATATATTGAAGATGCTAATGTTTGTTGTTTGAAGATGTTAATGTTTTAAAAGTAGCACAAAGGTTGAACTGCTTTACTCAGGGTGGACAGTTCAATCATCCAAATCAATGCATTAGCTTGTGGCATCAATAATTAAAAAATTCAGCATATAATAATTGTTCGGGTTATGGTTGAGCTGGCACCGGATGCCATGTGGCACCTACATGGCCGCCTTATATGCTCGGCCATGATAGCACCATGTCATATCCACGGCCTGCCTTATCTCCTCGACCACGTGAGCACTACGCCATATCCTCGGCCCTATTCTATCTTTCCAGCCACGTTGACTCCACGTCATGATGATAAGCACAACCATGATAGGAGAGCGAATGGGGACAATTTTGCAACGGATTAGGTCTTATCCCAAAGACTTCGACGATTAACCTTGTCCCAACAACCCTGGAAGCCTCATCCGACCAGGACACGGATCTTCGGCTATAAAAGGTATCCCTCGGTCAAGGTAAAGGATCCATCTCTTCACTCTCATACCGTTACTCTGCTTGTACCAGCACTGCTCTCTAGTTGCTCAGCCCGACCACCTACTCCTTTCTACTGACTTGAGCATCAAAGTGTCTACCCGGGGATAACTCCTTGGGCCTCTGACTTCCTTCTTGGTTTCAAATCTTATTGTGTGGCTTCATCCTTCCACCTCGTCTCTGACCAGCTAGCAAGGACTATTTGACTATGACCTCGGTTCTTGCACCACCTATTTCGAGCAACATCAGATTGGTATTGTTTGTGGAAAACACACAAAAAGCCTTTCCCTAATCTTCTCTCACCGCGCAATCAAGAGCTAATCAAGAAAAACTCTGAAAGATCAACAAGTCGATCCCCCCTCAAGGATCCCATTCTCATCGTAGTCCTCCGTGCCATGAGACCCAGCAGCCTCAGCAGCAAGCCGTAATCGACCTTATCCAGTTCCATGTGATGCAAGAAAAGGTCGACAAGATCTTGACAATGATGCAGTCATTGGGATCCACAGTGCCGCCCACTTAAACCGTCCCTCCTATTGACCCGATGCGTATGAAGGTTGATCCTCGCCCCAATGACCCCAAAACGCACTGATTGGAGAAAGATAGGGCACGGTAAGAGCCTGTATTGATGGGATCAGGGGTTCACTGTCTTCAGTAGTGAATTTGGCCAGGCCTAGTAACAAAGGCTAGGCTGAACCCATATGACTTTTGTGGAGATCAATGTTAGAGTCCCACGCCATACAAAGAGAGCCTAGCTAGCCAACAAATTAAAGAGGAAGTGAGCCTAATGACTTAATGGGCCTAAAGCCCAATTCGAACTAGGCTATGATTAATTAATTATGGGTGAATTTGAGATCAAATCTGCTTCTAGATAAGCAAGAGGATAAGATATGTCTTATCCACTAAAGAGTTTTGATCTAAATAAAGATTTGGATCAAAGAACCCTCTCCTAATAGGATTTGGAAGTTGATCTAGAAAAGTTATAAATAGAGGGAGAAATCCTCCCGTTAAACACTTTTTGCAAATCCAGATATTCTCTCTGCTCTTGCTGCCCTGCCCTGTTCGATTTCCAGTTCTTTGAGTGATCAAGATTGGATCTTGAAATTGTTTCTTGTTGGGAGAAACAATCTTGAAGTTATGCTCACATCCCTGTGTGATTCTTGCTG